CCTTCGCCAATAGCAGCTCCTCTTAGCTCCTCCTACTCCACCAGTAATTCCCCCTCCAGCAGCCAGCATTTACCAAGCGTAATGCCAGCAGCACCAGCCACAAATGAATGCTGGCTGGTTGGCTGCTGGCTTGTTTTATAGCTGGCTGGAGGCTGAGGGCAGCTGCTTTGCCCCCAGCCAAAACTCGGAGTCAGGCCTGGCCCTTGATCTCAAACGAGATCAAGGGTTGAGAAACTTGATGTTCCCCTAGGGGAACCAAGTTCCAGGCCTTGGTAATGCATCTGGCTGCCACCCACGGTCAGACGCAGCCCTAAATGGTCGTATAGAGCCAAGTAAAGCAGACTGTTGAAATCCAACAGTCGCTGTCAACTTAGGGCCCAGAAGCTTCTACCCCCTGCATCTGGACCCGCGTCGCGATTAGATTCGCGACTCCCCTTTTTTTTTTTCTCTTCTCCTTCTAATCTCCACCTTGTATCTACTCCACTCCCACGGCTACGTATGTGGCTGCTACCCCCTCGTTTTTCTATACAGGGGCAGCTTACCGTTCAGTACGAACGGCCGCCCCTCCCCTAAGTCATTTCACAGAGTCGAACTAGAGTCAAGCTCAACAGGGTCTTCTTTCCCTATTGCCCCTACGCCCGTACCTGGACGCCTACGGCGCCAGGTGCAGGCGGCGGTCTGCAGCCCGTTGCTCAACCAATGGGCACAGATAAGTAGGTTTTTCTCCCTCTCTCTCTCTCTCTCTCTCTCTCTCTCTCTCTCTCTCCGAGTGTACCACGCCGCCTGAATACAACAACGTTTATGTGGCTGATTCAGGCAAATTGACTGACTGTCGAGGCTCAGCCTCCTGATGAGTCGGTGGAAGTCCGACGAAACAGTCTGGCACAATCGTGCCTTTCTTTTCTGCCCGTTCCTCCGGAACTAATGGACACGCAATCTCTCCATAAAAGAAAGAGAAAAAGACAAAAAAGAAAATCTAGACAAAATCTAAAAAAAAATCTATCTGAAACTAAAAAAGAAAAAGAAAGAACTTACCAAAATCGTGGCTGCCCATTTCTAACGGGCGCCTGTCACATTGGCTGGGGACTAAAGTGCCCCAGGCACTTCGTATAGCGCCATGTGGCGCTTCACGTTAGTTTAGTTTTAGTGTTTTTTTTTTTTTTTTTTTTT